GGAATGATGGAATTATCAGTTGTCGCCTCGTGCACCCATTTATTTTGCTAATTAAATGATCAGCGGTTCCTTTAGCAAAGCACTCGGCTATAATCAGGATAAAGTGAAAAATGCATCGGATTGAGTCCCCCTGTGATCAATCGCCTTGATTTAAGTCGATTCATCCTTTCAGACATGTTAAGTTTGCCCTGCAAGGAAGTCATGCATCACAAACAGTCCAGCTTAACACTTCATCCATCATTCCCCACCCGCCCTCTCTCTCTCTTCTACCCCAGATGCAGGATATAAAAAGCAATGTCCTGCTTATGAATCATTCAGGAAAGGGGGTAATTATTAACCATCCCTGGTATTCAGTGCCACGTCAGTTTGGCACGATTACAGGCAATCCTTGACCAAAATCGGGCACCGGGATTTCCCGTCATTAAGCGAGTCACACCCAATTTTAGCACCCTTTTTTTTTTTGCCGCAGTTGTTAAATAATCACAGCCGTTGTTAAGGGGATGAATACAAATGTTGAGTGAATCCAGCTTTTTTCCATAACGGACCTATGGCTATTTTTCACAAATGTATTGCCATGGGCAGGGAATCAAAATTCGGATGCTTGGAAACTGGCATGTATTTATGACAGTGGCAGAGTCCCGGGGAGTCATGTGATCGTGACCTTCTGATGAGCTAAGCCAATGGGGAAGCCAGATGTAATTAACAGCCGGGTGACTAATTTCACAACTGCAATGATGATTCCCTTAACAACCGTGGCAGGAAAGGTTGTAAAATGCAGCAAAACTTGCTTAACAACGGTTCTGTTTGGCAGTGGAAATTTGGGGCTTAATTGTGGTTGTAAGTCGAGGACTACTTGTATCCCCACTCTCCACCGAATGGCTTGTTTAATTTTAGCTTGGCAGATATGCTTGTTTATTACTTAACTTAATTGAATTGAATTCTTTATTGTCATTGTACGTATATACACAGTATACACATACAACGAAGTTCACATAACTCCCAGAGACCAGACCCAACACGCACAAACACAAAGCCATCACTCTGCTAAACAAATAATTCCCTGAACACTGTTCAACTATTTACAAAGTGTACACTACTATTACTGTTAATCTTCTCACCACTCCTTATCACCCATCCCCTCCCACTTGACTGTTTCCTAGTATGATTTGATTGTTAATTGTACCCTATGACTATCATTAAGTGTTGTACGTTATGATTCTTGATTCTTAACGAATGTACCTTTTCTTTATGTATACTGAGAGTATTTACACCAAGACAAATTCCTTGTGTGTCAAATCACACTTGGCCAATAAAAGTATTCTAATTATAGCTCTGGGATAAAAACTGTTCAGGAAAACACGCGGTCCGAGTTTTAATTGCTCTTAGTCTTCTGCTAGAAGGTAACAGTTCACAAAGATTGTAAGCAGGATGGGAAGAGTCTCTGAGAATGTTGTGCAACTTCCTCAAACAGCGAGATGCAAAGATATTATCCAGGGCTGGAAGTGCCAGAAATTTAAAAATACCAACCCTCTCCACCTCAACTTACTCAGTCGGATGGAGTTTATTCAACAAACCATGTTTAACCCAACCATGGCTTAACAGGATGCATCAGCCCAGCCTATGACAAGCACTTCCCGTGACCCAAATTTAGAACTAGGATTTTTTCAGGATTTGCCGAGTACAAGAGGCCCAAATCTATCCTTTAAAGAAAAAAGGAATACCTTTCCCTGATTTACAACCCCAATTTTTGGTCATTAAGAGAGACAGTGCTCCAATTTACGACTTTTCTTGCCACAGTTGCTAAGTCAATCTCCGCAGTTGTTAACTGATTAAGACACAGTGGTTAAGCGAATCTGGCTTAATGTTGAACATTTAACCTCTATTTTTCTATCATTCCTCACCCTTCTTCCTGCAGAAACTTATGTGAATCATATTTTTTAATGGACCGAGGGCTAAATGCAAAAGCAGTTTTGCCCTGGTAAATCTTTCCTGCGTAATGGTGTAAGTAGTCCTCCACTTACGACCACAATAGAGCCCAAACTTTCTGTTGCTAAGCAGGACAGCTGCAGAGCGAGTTTTGCTCCACGGTACAGACCATTTTTGCCACAATGGTTAAGTGAAGTACTCCAGTTGTTTAAGTTAATGACATGCTTGTTAAATGAATCCAGCTTCCCCATTGCTTGTCAGGGGGTTGCAAAAGAGAGACATTGCAACCGTCATAAATACGAGTCAGTTGCCAAGCGCCTGAATTTTGATCATGTGACCATGGGGATACTGCAACAGTCATAAGTGTGAAAAACGGTCATAAGCCAGCCTTTTTTCCCCATGTTCTTTTAACTTTGAACGGTCACTAAATGAATGGCTGTAAGTGGAGGATTTTCCATAATCGTTTTTTTGATGCCACAGCTGCCTTCCCAAAACTCAGTATGACAGCTGTTTGGCCACCTCGGGGTCATTTGGAGATCCGGTCAGCGCTAACTGGTGTCCCTGGGTGCCATTTCTTTTATCAAATATGTGCACAATTTCGGACACGCACCTCTGCCGGACGTGTGCAGTCAGTTGGATGCTCAGAGTTCAGACAGCCTACAGCTTTTCTGCACTCACTCACACACACACACACACACACACACACACACACACACACACATGTCCCCCCAAAAACCAAGAAATATTTGGGCAATTGGACTGGATGATCCCCCCAAGATCCCTTTCAATGCTTTGAGCCTCTGATCCACTAATGAGTCCGCCAAATTCAAAATTCCAGGGATCACAGGAGAACACGGGGATTCAAATGTGGGACATTCTGAAAGCTGAAGATGAGGGTCTGTTTGGCCTAACGGGGAAGGCACCACGGTAGAAACCAGGTGACGGTGAGTTCTAGTCCTGTCTCAGACATGAAAGTTGGCAGACAGACTTTGGGCCAATCACCAGGAAACAGTGAGTTCTAGTTCCACCTTAGGCATGAAAGTCATCTGGGTAACTTTGGGTCAATCACCAGGAGAGGGTGACTTCTAGTTCCACAAAAGCCAGCTGGGTGATTGTGCCAATCACCAGGAGATGGCGAGTTCCAGTCCCGCCTTAGGCACAAAAGCTATCTGGGTGACTTGGGCCATTTCCTCTCGGTCCAAATTAAGTCATTGGCCTCATAGTCTCTGTGCCTTCCCCACCAACAGTGAGCAAACTCTACAGGTGTTGCCCTACAATTCCCAGCATTCCTCACCATCACTTCCTGGGAGTGCTGGGAGTTGAAGTTTATCAACATTTGGAAAGTCGGACAATACCTCTTGAGTACAGGTAGTTCTTGAATTACAATAATAGTTCATTTAGTGACCGTTCGAAGTTGAAACAGCACCGAAAAAAGAGAGATGACCGTTTTTCACACTTACGATCTTTCCAGCATGTTCAAAATTCAGACACTTGGCAACTGACTCATATTTATGACGGTTGCAGTGTGCTGGGGTCAAGAGATCCCTTTTTGTTACCTTCTGGCAAGCAAAGTCAATGGGGAAGACGGATTCGCTTAACCAACCATGCTATTAACTTAACAACTGTGGCGATCCACTTAACGACTGAAGCTAAAAAGGTCATAAAATGGGGGGAAATTCACTAAAACAACGGTCTCGCTTAGGAACTTAAAAATTTTGGGCTCAATTGTGGTCATAAGTGTAGGACTACCTGTAGGTAGATCTGCAAAGATTTCAAAAACCAACTCTTACCCTGATCTATTGGAAATACACCTCCATGAAGTTGCAACCTGCTAGATCCCTCACAGTGGCTCCTGCATTTTGTACCTTGCAGGCGTCATAAAAATAGATTGCAACTGTCATAAATACGGGTGAGTTGCCACGTGTCTGAATGTTGATCATGTGACCACAGGAGAGTGCGATGCTCATAAGTGTGAGCAATGGACATAAGTTGCTTTTTCAGTGCCGTTGTAACTTTGAACAGTCACTAAATGAACTGTTGTAAACCGAGGACTATCGATACCTGTATTAATTTAGTTATGGGAGCGCCATCACTGGAGGCTTTCAAGAAGAGATTGGGCTGCCATTTGTCAGAAATGGTGTAGGGTCTCCCGCTTGGGCGGGGGGTTGGACTA